CAAGGCCTCAAAACCATTTTGGCAAGTGATGTTTTCTTGGCTGGTAGTGTTCATGATACTTTTCCCTTTATTTATGCCACTACTTCTGACATTTTCCCATTCTGAATTCTCTTGCTCAACATTATTATCTTTATTCTCAAGTTGTGTTGTTGAGTACTCTTACTCCCCCTCCCTTCATTTGACAAGTTTCACAAAAGAGAGGTCTCTATTCATATTTCACTAGATGTTTTCTTTTGTTCCCTTCATTATCCTTAATTATGATATACTCATTTTGATTTTGAGTAATGTCAATCTCTACCATAATTCTGGCATAGGATACTCTTAGTTTATTCGCAGTGCACTCATCTGTAAACATAGGTATCCTTAAGGCACTACAAATTTTCCCTAGGCTTCTAACACCGACAGGTGTAATGGTAGGTTAGGGAGTTTGATCCAAACAGATAATGTTCTAAGCATATCTCATTTAAAGTCAAATTTTGGGGACCAGTCCTTAAGAACCATAGGCATATTTTGGACTTTGTATGGTACCCTCATCGTAACCAGATCTTTCTTCTGATGAGACTTAAATTTCAGAATGAAATATCTTCATGATAATATTGGTCTGGAAACTTCACAAAATTCCAAAATTTGATCATGTATTACTTAACAACATCCATACTCAAATCTTTTCCTATGACATACATTATTAGGGAAAATTCCTAAAATCGTACCTCAGATTCGATGTCAGCTTCTTCAATGTCAACTACAATCTCTGCTTCCACAATGTTAGGTGCGACAAATTCGATAGCAGCTCTATTTGAAGGGATTCTGTTTCCACTTATAACATCAACCTGTAACTTTGGTGTGTGCTCTTCCAGTTTTTCCGTCCTTTCTGATTCAAGGTTCCCCTCCACGAGGGTAGTAGGAGACTTAACTTCTGGGGCATCCGTCTTCACCTTGCGTGATACTTGAAAATTCTCTACATAACAACTCATTAGTAGAACAAAAAATAATATCATTTATAAATCTGAACTAAAAGAATATGTTGTCCTTTACGTTTTATAAACAAATTAGTATCTCTGATTTCACGAATAATATTTCTTTAGTGCGAAGCCACTAAGGCACTCATACCGAGTGTTAGGAGCTTGTTTGAGACCATAAAGAGCCCTCAAAACCAAGAGATTGATAAATGTATACGTCTTAGTTTTAAAATGTTAAGGAATGAGAACTTAACGTCCATCTGATACAACTAAAATATGTGCATCATGTAAATTCCAAAAGGAGTCATATCGCTTTGAGATGAGCTAGCGAAGAATAAGTCTACTTATATTCAAACATTTTAACTTGATTGTATCATTTTGTCACATGTGTTACTTTATTTCTTATAATTATGACATTATCATCAAGCTTGTTCTGAAAAAACTCGTATGGTATCTATGATAGTTTTATTTTGGGATGTGGGACAAAATCTCATATGTTGTTTATTTTAAATTGATTAAGCTTTTATTCCATATCGAGGAGTCATTCTTGTTTAGTAAAAGCATCATTGATATTTTTTTGTTCAATCTTTGAAATGAACGTGAAATAATTATAAAAATTATTAACCTAAGACAATGTTCAAACAAATCAGAAGAACAATAATCCAATTTATTCATACGTATCCCAAAAAATCCTTTGCATGAGTATAAATTTTACAATGGAATATGCCAAAAACCTTATGCATGAGTTTGGATTAGCAAATACATGATATACAATATAACATATGAAGTCGAATATATGATAATATTGTACACAAAATACAATTAAATTCAAGTGAAACGAAACGAGCCTAAAACAGGTGAATCTAAAGGGCATCGTAGGAACTATTGACTCTCACCTTCATCCTCTTCATCACAATGCAACCTTGACTGCCCTCAAAATCCTCTAGATAATTGTGTCGACATTTGTGCCATATGGTACGCTCCCATGAAAAATTAACATGACGGTCATGTCTCGGGTGTGCGCACATGTTTAGGCCAGACTACCGACATGAGCATACTCTTTTCCTGCTCATCTCGGCATTCCACCTCTCTATGAAGGCTGTCAGTAAGCTCCAATTAATTATATTAAACATGGTGGTAGTGATGTCAGTTAGCTCACTTCCTTGAATAATATTAGTGAATTAATCGTCTTCTTGAGTGTAGAGAGCAACAATTTTGTTCCATTTGTTGTTACATTTCAAGGGCATGTCATGTATCTAAAAAAAATCATACTCCTTCAGTTTCAAAATGACTTTTGTTTAAGATTTTTGCACAGATTAAAGAATGAAATGATATTGTCATAAGATATTGCACTTTTATTAAATTAGCATTATTAGTGTATTGAAAATAATGTACAGAGTAATAATTATATGACATAATTGGAAAAATAACAATTATTACTACATTGAAAAGTGAGAATGACATTCATTTTGAAACAAAAATCTTCCCCTAAAACGACAGTTATTTTAAAACTAAAAGAGTAAAAATAATTAAAATTAAACATAAAATAACAATTAAACATAATACAATATACTTGTAAGATACTTTTCCCTCTCATATATCTCTAGCCATTTGTACCTCGTGATAACACAATACATATGTGTCATACAAGCCTCCATGATATACCTTTGGCTTGGTCACATGCATCTCTGGCACTTTCACCTCAGACACATCCATCTCAGAAATTGCATATATTACAGGACAATTTAGAACCCTGAGTGTGCCTTTGATTGTACTAGACCAGACATTTATTGTATTATATGACTGTTGTCAAAGTTTTATAGTTGACTTAGTATAGAGCATTAACATGCTATTAAAATATTCACGCGGTACCTAAAAAAGAGCATGAACTTATGATTACACTATCAAAAAAATATATATGTTGTCTTTGAAAAATACAATGATGTTGATGGGAATACTTTATCATATGATTCTAAAGCAATTAGTATTGCATATTTAGCATAGATGGAGGAGAAGTCTCTTGAAAATATAATTGCTCAATCTATAATTAAATAAAAAATGATAGTACTTGTGACATTGAAGAAGAACCAATTTGGTTGATATGCTTGCTAGTCGAGATCTCGTTATGGGAAAAATTGATGTGCTCTATGTTAATCCATTTAGAATTGTTAATATAAAGGTAAAACACGACAAGTAAATCATAAGCACATCACTATCAGAGTTTATTTTTAAAAATGTTGCTATCGTGGATTGTGTCTACACTGGTGAAAATTTATTCGAACATTTGATGAAAGGATTAACCAAAGAGAAAGTTCTAATTGTGTTCAAAAGAATAATATTATTTCCATCAAAACAATGAGTTGCTCATAATGGTAATCTGACCTATATTATTGGATATCTCAAGAATTAGGTTCAATAGGTGATAACAAGTTGTGAAGTGATATGAAATTAGCATGCTATTAAAAATTAAATAAGTGTCATTCTTGCTTGAAATGATGAAAAGTTAAGGTAATAAAAACTCTGAATGAGATTTATGCTCCATGTTAAATGAAGTACCTAGCTACATGAGTACCCTTGATACACTTGCATATTGTGGAAATAAGACTGTTTCATATGTAAATTTTAGAAGAAGAAAAAAAAAAGAAATCCTAGAGTTTTCACTAAATCGAAATAGACGTGCATGGTTATTTTAGCATGGAATTTTCAAGAATACACCCTAAAAATATTGTGTGTGAGTCTCAAATTTAACGACAATCATTCTTGTTGGATTTGAATCATACTCATTATGTAAGGACTCAAATCTAATGACATCTTTGGTGTTCCACTCCTTTAGAGTAGCATTTAATGCTACTTTTAAAATATTTTTATTTTTTAAAATCCAAGCGGGGGATGCTAGAACTAAGAGCATCTCCAATGGTGCTAGGCATATTTGGGTTCTTTGTGGGACTCATTAAACCACATCATTTTGAAGCAACTCGCTCCATTTTTCACTCCAATGGTGCAATTCTAAAGAACTTATATTGCGTCCCACAATTTTACTTTGTATATTAATATTTTATTTATACTAAATTTTATTTGATTTAAAATAATAATTTAAATTATTTAAATTTAAATTAATATAAAATAAATAAAATTAAAATTAAACATAAAATTTAAAATGATAATTAAAATGAATCTCAAATACATGACATATAATTAAAAACAATAAAAATAAATTACATAACATAATTACTCAAATTTAATTTTCATCGTCCTCATGTCCAAAACGTTCCCAAATATGCTCGACTAGATCTCCTTGAAGTTGACGATGAACTTGTTTTTCACGAAGAGTTGCTCTTCTTTGTAGTCTTGTTGCAAGATTCGGATGAGGACCGTTAAATGTTTCAGTCGTTGAGTTGTTGTTACCGACATTATCGTAAGAGTAATCAAAATCACCTCTATATGTGTGTCGTTCGTCTTCGACAATCATGTTGTGCAATATGATGCAAGCATATATGGTATGCTTGAGGGTTTCCATGTGCCAAGCACGCACCGGACCACGTATTATTGCAAAACGAGATTGAAGCACTCCGAATGCCCGTTCCACATCATTTCTAGCTGATTCTTGGTGTTGTGCAAATAGTTTTCTCTTTTCTCCTTGTGGCATCGAAATAGTTTTGACAAATGTAGCCCACTCAGGATAAATGTCATCCGCTAAATAATACCCCATATTATAAGGAGTTCCATTGATTGTATATTGCACATTAGCAGCACGTCCTTCCAAAATATCGTTAAACACATTGGATTGGTTTAACACATTAATGTCATTGTTTGAACCTGCAATACCAAAAAATGCATTCCAAATCCACAAGTCTTGTGATGCCACTGCTTCAAGCATGATCGTGGGTTTACCATGATCACCTCGACAAAACTATCCTTTTCATGCAACAGGACAATTCTTCCATTCCCAGTGCATACAATCAATGGAACCCAACATACCTGGAAAGCCAGGTGACTCACCCATTTGTAAAAGATGTTCAATATCAGTGTTGTTAGGATTTCTCAAATACTCATCCCAAATACAACATTCACGCCCTTAACGAATCTTTCTAAGCACTCAATTGAGGTACTTTCACCGTTTCGAACATATTCGTCTACAATGTCAGCGGGAGACCCATATGCCAACATACGAATAGCAGATGTGCATTTCTGAAATGGTGAAAGACCCATCTTACCAGTTGCATCGACCCTCATTTGGAAATATTCATCATGATTGCCGAGGGCATCTACAATTCGAAGAAACACATGCATATGCATTCTAAACCTTCTTTGGAATTGTACATCTGTGTATACTGAATTTTCTGAGAAGTAGTCATTGAATAATCGATTGTGCCCTTCTTCACGACTTCGATCTACCGTAGTTCTTCTCTTTGGCCTAGAGGAACTTCCAAATTGACATTCATTTTGAAGATGTTGTTCTTCATCACTGTCGTCCATAAATTCTTCTTCAACTAACTCCCAAAATTCTTGATCGTAATTATCTGAATTGTCTGAATCCATTTTAGTGAGGAATAAGAAGAGAATGATAAAACAATGACATAAGTGGTAGTATATATAATGGTTTGAATAACGACTAGTTTGAATAACGGCTAGTTTGAACAACATAATATTTATTATGATTTAAAATGGTATTAATGACCATTTTACATAGGATTTGATAAATTAAAGTGGTACTAATGACCATTTTACATATATTTTAAAGTGGTACTAACTACAGTCCATTTTTTTTCATTTTATTACAATATTTTTCATGAATATCTCGTTGACTTTCGTTCATAGTAGAAGTGTCTTTCAGCATGATTTGCATTACCTTTAATTCTATCTCGTCCTCCTTACTTTGCGCAAGTCTTTCCATTGTTTCTGCTCTTTTATTCCTTGCATCTTGTGTTGCATTTGAAATTCCCTTTGCCTTACCCTTCCTTTTTGCTGCTTTTTGTCTCATTGGACACTCCATTGGTGATGATGAGTTAAACTCATAACTTGAAGGTGTATCAGGGGTCTCCGATGATGCCCCACTAACAGAAGTCTGTGTCATTTTTGAAGAATTTCCAATCGATTCTCCGATGATGCCCCATTTAGCTTCATCTTTTAACAATCGCCATGCATACTCAAGATTGAATGTTGTACCTTGATCTTGAGCATAAAAAGCATGTGCAACAGCCATGATATCGTTCTCCGATGTCCCACTTTTCTTTCCATTGACAGCTTGTCTATAACACCCAACAAATTTTTGAACCGACGCATTTATTCGATGCCATCGACATTTTAATTGACCACTTAACTTTTCTCACAATTGCCCGCGATACTGGTTATAATTTGCAGCGATTCTATGCCAAAAACTCTCAGCTTTTTGATCAACCCCCACAATTGGATCCTTTGAAACACTGAGCCATGATTGGATAAGACATATATCTTCATCCCTTGTAAATTGCTCTCGAGATTTTTTTTTAACGAGAACCCTTTCTTCTTTTTCAACACCAACTTGAGTAGAAAATGGTGGAACTTGAAAATTTTGAGGATTAGGATTTTGATACATATTTGGATTGTTTGGTGACGGAAAAAATATGGCGGGGTTTGGTGGTACTGATGGAATTTGAGAATTTTGAGAATTAGGATTTTGATAATTTTGCATAAAATTGAACATAGCTTGTTGATAATGAAAATGATTAGGATCCATTTGGCCTAAACAAATGTAATTTGAAGTAAAAAGGTGAAAATTTTGGTTAAATATTTTGTCAAAAGAAGGCTAATGAGAAGAAATTGTAGGAACAAAATTAAAAGTAAAAAAATAATGATGAAATTGTGAGAGAGAAATTTGAAATTTAAGAGAAAATAAAAGGGAGAAAAAAGTTTTGTTGATAATTTTTTTACTAACAACTATATTTATAATAACAAAAAATAAAGTGAAAAAAAATTTTAAAAAAACTCAAGTGGCCGTTGAACGGCTAGTCAAATGAAATATTATTAAAAAAAACATTTAGAACCGTTGCTTATTTTGTTACCGTTGGTCAGCTGGAGCTCTCTAGCAAGAAGAAAAAAAGTCAATATGTTTTGCCACGTGAAGAACCATTGTTCAAGAACCACCATTGGACATGCTCTAATAGGAATAATATAATAAGTTAAATCTATGTGTCTGGCTATGAGTTGAAAAAATTTAATCTAGAGTTTTACATATGAGAACTGTCACATTTTACAAATATTTATAAGGTGGAGATAGTTTCCTTGAAGTGTGCTCCAATGGGTATAGAGGTTTGATGAAATAGAATGAGTGATGGCAAAATTAAACACCACACACACGGTTGTATTATGTCCATTCGAATCAGATCAGTTTAGGCCAGATCTGAGCTTATGGCATGGTGACATATTTTATATCAGTTCATATTTGATTTAACAAGAGACATTTAAATCCAGAAATTATTTATGTATTGACATATATTATACTAATGATAATAGTTTATATAGTGTCAATCTACCTGCACAAATTCTTAAGGCCTAAATCAACCACCATCAATATTGTTAGACTGGTTTTTTTGTGGTGCTCCTGCAAGCACAAAAGCATGTCAAAAAGTTTACACGATTGCATTTAATTTATGCTTTTGAGTGTTATCTTTTCGCCTCTAGAAATGTTGTGTTTGGATACAGCTTGACCATGCATGACACCAGAATCACGCAATTGAGAAAAAGTCACATGCTATATACGTTTTAGAGTGCTTATTACCTAATATATATAACGTACACGCAATGATTTTTTTGACCAATCTATAATGCTTACATTTATGTAAAGCTGGCAAAACCTGGACTAAAGTTTTAACCTCTCACTCTCTAATATACATGTTCCGTCCCGTCCCATCTTTTACAAGTTTCATTGTCCACGGACATGCCTCAATTTTTTGCAGAGAGGATAAAGGTTTTATGCACGCGCCTTCAACAATGCCTGCCCCCCGTCCCGTCTTTTACGAGTTTCATTGTCCATGGACATGGGAGGATAAAGGTTTTATGCACGCGCCCTCAACAATGTCTGCCCCCCATCCCGTCTTTTACGAGTTTCATTGTCCATTGACATGTCCTATCCTGACCTCAATTCTTTGCAGGGAGGATAAAAGTTTCAGAATTGCTATTTTGACACCGTTTTTGTGTTACACCGTATGTATATCGTATATATTAAACAAAGCAAAGTTGTTGTGCACACAAATCAAGATAAATTAAATTAATATCTTTTCTCTACAAATTTTATGCACGCACCCTCAACAATGCATGCCCCCCCTGTCCCGTCTTTTACGAGTTTCATTGTCCATGGACATGCCCTATCCTGACCTCAATTTTTTGCACGGAGGATAAAGGTTTTATGCACGCGCCCTCAACAATGCCTGCGCCGCTTTTTGCAGGACACAACGGATCTAAACAGAACAGACGTAGCCATTTGCCACCCCCTACATTTGTTTATTGCTCCTAAATATTCTCCAAGCATTTGCCAATGCAAATTAAGTGAATACTTGTATTGAAATGGTCACATGGTTTCTAACTAAAATAAAACAAAATATTCTTGCGAAAGCTTGAGGAACAAATGAACAACTTTGGTTAATAGAAGAATAACATTCTACAGAAAATACTTGAAGAGCATTGCATTGCCTAAAGTAGGCATCCCAGAAAATCTGAATAGAATGCCTATCACAGACAATACCTACATGAGATTATAATTTCTAAAACTAAATTACATTGCTACTTCTAAGTTCTAAAACTACCTGTTTGTTCCTAAAAATCTAACTTAATTTTCCATCAGAACATTCTAATGACTGATTAGGCGAAAGCAAGTTTATCTACGCTTCTTCATCATAATCTTCCATATCTTCATCAATCCTATTATTTAAGCTGGCTAGTTGTATGGGATCAATAGCCATTTTTTCCATATCAGATAAGGACCATCCAGGGTATTCCTCAATCTTCTCTTCAGAAGTTGAGTCTATAGGCCGCGAACAAGTTGGGACAGGAGTTGGAGAGGATAAGAAATCCATGTTCTCGTCTGGCTCTAAATTTAAATCGAAATTTCGAACGACGGCGGGTTTTCTGACTGGTGAACTCTGCTGTACTTCCTCGGGTTGTCTAACTGGTGAACTTGGCTTTACTTCTTCGGGTTGTCTAACTGGTGAACTCAGCTTAACTTCCTCGGGTTCTGGCACATTTTTCGAGCTTTCATTACTTTGAGTGTGGTTGCCATTTTGCTTCAGTGCTTCAGAATCATCTTCAAACTTGACATGTGAACAGATCTCTTGATCAACAGTTTTATTTCCACGACCACGGCCACGACCCCTACCTCTACCCCTACCTTTTCCTCTTCCACTGGTATGTGCAGATTCTGGCTGCGCATATCATGAAGAAAAAAACACTCATTATTCAGTTAATATTTAACATTGACCAGTAGCCATTAAATACCATAAATTGCAGGAAAGGAATTTGCAATCACAGGCCATTTGAAAAATTCCATAATCACTTAAGCAAACATTTTTTGTTATTGACGTCATCAAAACAATGTTGTCAAATAGTGACTAGAGAGCTAAAGAATAGCAGAATATCAACAAACCGCTATTGTTCCGTGATAGGCGATTTAGTACAATGTGTTGTCAAATAGCAGACACAGGGGTGCTATAGCACTTTAGTGTAGTGGAATTTGAGCAAAATGCTATTTTCCTCAATCCGCAATTGACAACACTGCATAAGAAAACATATATGCAAGGTCATGTTCAGGGACATTACTCAGCAAAAGGTATGAAAAAGAAAACTTATATTACCATTTTATTTCTCTTGGTCTCTTCGTCGCTGTCATTATCATCATCTTCAGCAACTTTCCTAAAATACAACAAAAACAATCAGCATACAGAATTTGCCCAAGAAATAAGAGGAGCAATCAAACACAAACCTCCTCTTAGTGACAGTTTGGTCGTCGCCAGTTGCAACAGAACCGCCTAAATCAGGAACCTTGCTCACAATATCATTCAGAAAATCGAAAATATTAAAAGATTGTACGCACTGTTTTCTGCAAATCCAAGAAGACACGTGAATCAGCTTTTTAGAACCAAGAAAGAGGATTCAAACACTAAAATAAACAGATCATGGTCTAAAAGCAAGACAAATAAACTAATAGAAGTTCCGTTCCGCTTACAAATGAAAAGCATTCATAGTCTTCGCTCCCCTCCTAAGTGTTACATCATATGTCCTATCACACAAATCTTGCAGAAATAGTTCTAGGGCCTTAGCTGCAAATACATAAAAACATTATGATTAAGATAATAGATAATTTTAATACAAACTAGAAGAAATAAACATGATTTTTTCGTATATCTTCATGTTTCAGAAAAAAAACATCGGCATGAAACTACTTACAAACTAGAAGAGGCACAGCCATTGCAATCTTCCCTATATCTTCATCAGCTTGCATAATTTTCTTAATCCTCCCCTGTCAATAATCCATGACACAATCATTATTGATATGACTCAAACTAAATCAAGATGATAAAAGATCATTCAGTTTATAACACAAAAATGAATTATGAAAAGATATATTTCTAGCAAACAACAAATATATATATATATATATATATATATATATATATATATATATATATATATATATATATATATATATATATATATATATATATATATATATATATATATATATATATATATATATATATATATATATATATATATATATATATATATATATATATATATATATATATATATATATATATATATATATATATATATATATATATATATATATATATATATATATATATATATATATATATATATATATAAAAGGAGAAAACAGAGTGTTTGTCCAACTATTTTGCCTGCAACGCCATCTGCTATTTCGCATAGAAGATTTTTGACATTCTACTACTTTCCGCAATACACTACTGATAACCATTAATCCATGCCCCCCTATTTATTCCATACTACACAGCATGGCAGTCTTGTTTACAATATAGAAAACATGACCTAAATGGTGCCAACTCACATACCGTATCATATGACGCAACCTATGAAGCACGGACAACAAAAACACGACATTGACACATCGACACCGGTCATAATTTGAAAAAATGAATCAATCAAATGTAATCACAAATGTCAGTGTCAATTTCAGACCCCAAGGCAGTTACAGACACATCTTTTTTAAGAGGTGTGCTACACATGCCGCAACAGGTAAATGATATTCCACAGTGAAACCAAAGCACATATCTTCACCAGGAAACCAAATATTTCCAAACAAAGACATACAAATGCAAACAAATTTATACAGCACAAATCCGCAAGTCAAACACAGTTACAATAAACATGATCTCCTAATCTTATAGGCACTGATTAATCACTGCACTTCACAATTCGTCAGCATACTCTTTAACTAAATAAGTTTCACTGTGTCAAATTTAAATAAAGGTCTCCATTTCCCTTTCAATAAAACAAGATTTATTTCATTCAAAATAACATCTATCGCATTAAGTTCTTCAAAAAACAATATTTCATAAGCAAAACCACCCCTTAAAATCAGTTTACTCAATTGCGCACTGCAATGCCATCTGCTATTTTGCATAGAAGATTTTTGGCATTCTGCGATTTTCTGCAATCCGCTATTAATAACATTAATCACAACCCCCCATTGATATCATACTACACAGCATGATGGTCTTGTTTACGACATAGAAAACATGACCTAAACGGTGCCAAATCACACACCGTATCATATGCCGCAATATGTTAATGATATCCCACAGTGAAACGAAACCATAGCACATAGCGTCTTCACAAGGAAACCAAATATTTCCAAACAAAGTCATAAACGCAAACAAACTTGTACAACACGAATCCGCAAGTCAAAAAACAAAACCTATTTCATTCAAAATAACATCTACTCGCATTCAAACTCCCTTAACATCAGTGTACTCGATTGCGCATTGCAAAACATATCATAGGGTTCAAATTCCGCTACACTACATTGCTATAAGACCATAACACACTCTTCAACAACACTTTGCACTAAACAGTATATCAAACAACAATAACAAGTCGTCAAATTCCGCTATGTTATCATAACAATTACTTCATGAACAAAATCAACGATTCCATAACCAAAAACCACCACAACAAACTTCTCTATCCCTAGTATCAATACAAAGCAAGTTTACATCAAAACCTGAATGAAAATCAAAAAACCTAAATTCAAAAAAATATCAAGAAAAAAAACTGAATGAAAATCGTGGAACTTACAGCAGGGAAACGAGTATCAAGTTTCTTCTTCATCTTGTTGTGAAGAATGTGAAAACAAAGCGTTGATTTTATAAAGGGGAAGAATGAAGAATGAAATAAAACGGTAATGAAGAATGAAGAAGACGAAGAAACAAAGGTTTTTGATATTCCAAATCTTTCTATTTGGTTAAGAAGTTGTTGTTATTAAAAGAGTTTCGTTTCCCTCTTTTTGCACGAACGGTTTATTCTAATTCTAGACTCTCTTTTTCAACATTCAAACCTTTTTGTTTTTTCTTTATTGACCATTTACGTACAAATTAGAAATTCATTTTTAAAGAAAGTTAAATTTACTAGAATTACGCTATAAATTTAGAGTCATAATAAATGTGATTCGATTTGTTTCAATTTTTTTTTTAATTTTGAGAAAAATCTTTTTTTTTTTAATTTTGGAAAAACATTTTTTATTTTATGCATCTGGAGATCAAGTGTGTGGGTGGTGATTGTAACACCCCGATTTTTCATTTATTTTATTTTAATTGAGTTTAAAATGTTTTATACTATATTATTTGAGTGATCTATTTAATTTATTAATACTATTAAGGATAGATAAATTTTTATTAGACTTGTCATTAACTTTAATTATTTAAATAATAGAAATAAGTAGAAATTGAGCTTTGAATAGGAAATTGCAATTTAAATAAAAATTAAGGAAAATGGTGGGATTAGTAAGAATTGAGGTGAATTAGTGAATTAATAAAAAATAGTAGAATTTTATTTAAATAGTGAGGGGAATTAGAGTTAGGGTTGTTTTTTTGGAGAATAAGCTATCATAGAGTCAGAGAAATTCCTAGTAGATCAAAATGTAGGAGAATAGAGAGATCAAATTGTTGTACTTCAAGTTTGTTGCAGATTTGAGGTAAGGGGGAATTGTTCATGATATGGGTGTTTAGGGCATAAAGGATAGAGATGATTCCTTATCCTCTTTCTCTTTTCTTTTAATTTTTCTCCCATTGATAAATTTGTATAATCTATAGATGATTTGTGCAAAACTCTTTTGATTTCCATGATATACTGTGAATTTCGTGTTGTATTGGTGACTTGTTTTCATATGAAATTGTATGTGAAACTTTGAGTTTTTATGTTCATGTTGATATGCTTTAAATTGATGAACATGTTAATGGCTTTGTGGTTAATTGATGATATAAATGATTAATCTGTGTGAAATTGATGTGCTTAATGTTGTATAATTTATATGATGATTTATTATGACTTTTGAGTTTTCTGGGGTCGAAATTGGAGCTTTGAAGGTGCTACAATGGATAAAATGTATAACTATGCATTATGCACAACGATGATGGGTGTCACCTTCATGACGGGTCAACTGTCACTATGTTGACCAAGTTAACAGACACCAGCGAAGTGACAGGCCGACCATCGTGGACTCAGGGATAAGCGTCAACGTGATGACGAGTTTGTGAGGAAGATGGGTGATGGGCAGGTGTGACGGCTGTCATGCCTGGAGAGCTAGATGTCATGCTCTTTCTTGACCAATTTTGGGTTGTACGACTCAATTTTTTTTGAGTGGATTCCATTTTTTTATATTTGTTTGATGTTGTTGATGAGTATTGTCGAGAAATTGTGCAATTTAATTATTAGGATGAGTTATGATAAAATTTTGAGTTATGTTGGGATGTTTGGTTAAGAGAGAAACCATTGTTGCGGCCTTGTATTGGGAATGTTCATGTTGAGTTTTAGGTTAATAGAGGAACCAATATCGAGTGTTGTAGTTGGAGGTTTGAGACGAGTATGCATTTGCTTTTTGCATTCATGCATCATGTATGTCAAAGATAATAGGACTTCAGTTTAGTGACGAGTCTCAGGTTCAGAGAGGAACCAGTGACGAGTTAAATGGTTCAAAGAGAAACTAGTGATGAGTCTAATGGTTCAGAGAGGAACCAATGGTGAGTGGACTAATCAATAATATAGCTATGATATCTAAAACCTTAGCACCACATGTATTAGAGTAGAGGAGATGAATACATTGCATACATAACAATATTTATGATAGATTATTGTTATGGATGATTTATGTGATTGTGAAGTGATATTATTTGCACTATCCTTGATATTTCATGTACCACTAACATATATGAATATATTTCTCACCCTATATTTGTTTGTCTGTGTTGTTCTTTACGCATGTGGTGCAGATACTCCGGTAGAGAAGGCTTAGTTGTTGTTGTGTTCGTGGAGGATGGCATAATGGCCTTCTTCATTTATTGCTTTTGAGTTTATTTTAGTTTTCGCGTGTTGCTTTGATAGTGTAACATTAGGACGAGTTACCTTTTCTGTTTTGTGTTCTGAGAGTTATTGAACTGTTTCTTTTATGATTTAAAACAAATTTGATATTTATTTACTAGACAATTAAAATTGAGTTGTTATTACTTAATTCCACTGTTATAATATGACAAATAAGAGAGATGGTTATGCTGAGAAAATGTGACACACTATTTTTGAGCAAATTATTTGCGTTTTATAAATTAAGTGTTAGAGGTTTAGGGTGTTACATTGATTATTTTTTCTTCAAGCTAGTTTTTGCTAGCTCTGAAGATTGAGGCAGAAAAGAATTGCGAGAAGAGTTTGAGAGGATTGCTTTTGAAGTGAATTGTGGATGGCTATTAGGAAGAGACTTCAATGACATTATGGATGCTACAGGAAAAAAGTATGGGGTTGTTGTATCTTACAAAAGATGTGATGTATTAAAAATAGAATAAACTATTGTAATCTTATGGACGCTTAGATATGGGATTATGTAACAAATCATGGAGAATGAAACTTCTTCAAGCTTATGTTAAAGTTCTTGCTCGCCTGAAGTTTTTGGATCATCATTTGATCATTGTCTCTACTTAGCTTAATGATGCAAGGAAAAAGGATAAAAAGATCAAGTTCTATAGTGCTTGGATTTTAGAAGATACTTATGAGGAAATGATTTGGAGTGCATGGAAAACTAATAAAGACCTAATTAATAACATATACCGAGTTCGAGCTCATTGTGTGAATTGGAATATGCACACTCTCCATAATATTCAAAGGCAAAAAAAAAAAGCTTATGGGGAGATTGAAAGGTATCCAACTAGCTATGCAGAATGGGAGGGACCACATTGGTATTAGGCACATGGAAAAGAGGTTGTAGCAAGCCATAAATAAGATTCTTTACGAAAACGATCTAGGTTAGTTTCAAATGTCTACATCAAAATGATTAGTGGATATGGATAAAAATATCAAATATTATCATGCCATGTCAATCTAAAGGAGAATGAGGAACATTATCACAATGTTGAGAGATGAGTGTAAGGATTGGATTGAAGACTCAGGGAAAATAAATAAGATGATTAATGATTGTTATTAGAGGTTGAAGTTACTATCTTAATTCAATGAAGAAGAAATTAAGAAAGCAAATTTTAACATGGACCCTTTATTGAACATGTGACTCCACACACAAGAGGGGGGTGAATTGTGGGTTTCAGAAAAAACTTTGATTTCAAAAACCTTTATTATTATTTTTAGAGTTTAAAAACATTTTGAAAAAGATTTTAGAGATTAACAACATAAATTTAAATTGCAAAAATAAAAGTTAAGGGAAAGAGAAAAGACACCAAGTATTTATACAACTTCGGTTAAGAAGTCTTAGTCATATCCCTAAGCTTTGATCTTGAGAGTGTTTACTAAATCTTAAGAGCTTTTGATAGGTTGAACTATCGAACCCCCTTATACAAATAAAAATGAAGTTAAAGATTTTCCAACCAAACAACGAACAACAAAGAGAAGTGGTTAGTCTCCCTTCTAAACAATAATTTTCAGAGAGAAGTTGTTAGTATTCTTTCCAAATAATGGATTTAAGCAGTTAGAGATGTTGCTCAAGGGGCGCGACTCATAACTATATGAGCTGAGAAACTCAAGTGTGAGTCTCTCATAGGTAGGGTGCCTAATGGATAAAAAATGGTTCTGACCTAATTTGTCAAGCATAAAGTAAACACTACCAAATAAACCAATTACTCTTAGAAAAGAATCATTAGCATACCTTGTGGGAACTAACTCCCATCGGAAAAGGTACTCGTACTATTTTATTTGTTATGCTCTAGTTTCTCCTTCTCTAAACTAGACTCATATATAATCCATATCATATCTTTGAGGTATTTTGGATGAGGTTTGAGTGTTTAGGTATAAAATGGGTGGAAAAATCCAAATTCAGATTTGGGGATAGGTGGAGAAATTTTGAGTTTTGAGGGTGGGTTGTGGTTATGGAGGGAAAAATGTGGAGTATTGTGGTGGCCATGGTTTTGGATTTGGGTAAGAAATGAGTAAGTTATGGAGTTTTGAAAATGTGCTTTAGTGGATAAAAAAGGAGGAAGTTTTGTGAGGAGGGAGAATTTTGAAAAAGAAAGTGAAAGGCGAAAGAGAGATAGTGTGTGTTTTGAAGTTGAGAGGTGAGAGAAAATCACAATTTAAGCGTAATGGGTAATATAATTTATAAGAATACATTAAAAAGTGATTAAATGGGAAGCTAAAACTAAACATACAACCAACCACTCCTTTAACATGCTAACGAGCTTCATGGTTGTGACAGACTGTCAGTTGGCCTTTTGGAATCAGCTGACAACTCTCATCCACATGGTGACCTGCTCGTCATGCAGTTAGAAGGTCGTTTTTTCTATTTTGGACGGTTATATCAACAATCGCTCCTCTTTATCAATTGGTTCATCACTTGCTCCATATTAACTACAATTAATATGCTTTGTTGGTACTTAATGACAATTAAAAGAAAAAAAACATGCGGGTTACCTCCCACACAACGCTTCATTTTACGTCGGTAGCTCGACTCAATGAGGCTCAACCCTCAACGGGGGAAAATCACCAAGGTACAACTTTTTCCTAGCATGTTATTTGTAGGATGGTAGTGCTTTAAATGTTAACCATTGACTAAAAATTTTTCAGCGGATTTACTTCAAACTTCAACTGCTTCTGATTCACTAACTCTAGTCACTTCAAATGGT